CGTACCCCAGTCCCTATTAACGTACCCCAGTCTCTATTAACGTACCCCAGTCCCTATTATCGTACCCCAGTCCCTATTAACGTACCCCAGTCTATTAACGTACCCCAGCCTTCCATTAACGTACCCCAGTCCCTATTATCGTATCCCAGCCTTCCATTATCGTACCCCGGTCTCTATTAACGTACCCCAGTCCCTATTAACGTACCCCAGTCTATTATCGTACCCCAGCCTTCCCTTAACGTACCTCAGCCTTCCATTAACGTACCCCAGTCCCTACTAACGTACGAGAATTTATTAGATTTTCTAGCTGTAGCACTAAAAATAGTTATAAATATGGCCTTAGATATAATTTCACCCGTAATTTTAGACTTATTTAGGGCATAGATATTTCTATTATATAAGATGGTCTAACGGCAACGGTGTCAAATATTTATTTAATTGCGTTGTGATATTTGTAATACTTTCTTTACATTCATGGACTTATGATCTTTTCAGTGTCTTAGCCTAATTTTAACTACATTAGATAAATTAAATCATCCAACAAATTAACTAATTGGTTAAATAAGATATTAGTTCTGAAAGCTAATAACGCATTAAATCTATTGAGGATCAATTACAATAGTACCCCAGTAATGAGATAGAAAACGTAACTGAATAGAAAACGACGATGAAAGAAAAGACGATGATAGAAAACGGCGGTGAACAAGAAAATATTGAGCAGATACTTAGATAAACTCGATACATTTTTCAAAAATATTTTTTCTGGTAATTTGCAGCAAATAGGCGCGAGATAAACAGCGTGCGGACTTATACAGCGATTTGTATAGTTATCATCTGTATACTTGCATAAATACAGTATATATCGACTGGTCACCGATTCCGGACCACCTATATACATATTTGTANCCCGTTAACGTACCCCTGTTGATCAGGTCGCTGGGTAGCTCCTGTTCCTCAGGAAACAGGAAATCGGGCGGCATTTCAATGCGTCTGTTGATGCTGATGTTGACTTTACTGTTGTTGTTATTGCTGTTGTTGACGTCGCTGTTGATGATACTGTTGATAACAGACGAGTTCTCAGTTGACGTTTGTTCCTGTTTGTCAATAACAGCTGCTATTGGTATATTGATGTCTGTTGTTGCACGGATGTTGGTTACGTTGCTGTTGTTGTTACTGTTGTTGATACTGTTGTTGTTGTTGTTGTTGTTGTTGCGGTTGTGCAGAGATGATATTGTGCTTGCAATAAGAGCAGACGGCCGAGTGCTGTTCTTGTTGCTAGCTGTTGTTGCTGTTGTTGTTGTTGCGTTACTGTTGAATAAGAGTAGGGTCAGGACATGTGGGCTCAATGAAATTTCAATAACGCAGTAAGTATTGTAATAAATAATACCTATTAATATTAATAATGATAATAATAATAATATTAATAATAATAATAATAATAATAACAGTAATAACAATCATAATTTTAATAATAATAATAATGTGTTGATAGTACCGTAAACAAGTGTTGATAATAAACAAAATAAAATTCTTCACAAAGAGAACGACTAATCCTCGAAACTATAATAACTTTTGATATAGTAAATTAAAGTTAACGTAACTATAAACGAAGTTATAGTAACACGTAGAAGGCTACCCGCAAAGATATACAGGAGGATCCACGGAAACTTCCTGTTTTGTATGTCGTTAAATTGCGTTAAAGTTGTCGGAAACTCAGTCGAGATGTTGTAGGAAATGAGCGGGGAGTATTTCATATGAAAACCAAGGTCATGAAATTTTGTGTACCGCCTAGTAAGTAGCCACTAAACATTGGACAAGTGAGTAGCGTGCGTTTGCTGTCGAGACGTACTTTTCTGATGGGCGTTCCATTATCGCTACTCAACGAGCATTCCGTACTCGGTCCCTAATAAGAAATCGATTGTAGCAAAAAATTGCGAACACATTTAAGACAAGTAGATGTGTTTTTTATTGGTTATCATAAATAAATTGTTTATAATGACTGTCCAGGAACTCTACCTCATGTGAAGAACAACATACATCAAGCCACCGCCACCATACCCGTCAATGTTTCAGCGAGTTGAACGCAACTTCAAAAATCAACTAACTGAATGCATTGACAATGAAGGCCGTCATTTGTCCGACGTCATCTTGAAAAATAAGTGATACAAAAGTTGAGGATTGAGGTAGTGAATTTTTCAATGAAGTCCTGGGTGGCGCCTGATGCAGATCAGGCGCCAGCAAGTCTAATTTTGTTAGGGCAAATCTAAGTGCACTAAGGGCACGGAGATTTACGCGCCCTCCGAGTCCTGGGCGGCACCTGATGCAGAACTGACCAGCATCTAAATTTTGTTAGGGTAAATTTTGTTAGGGCAAGTCTAAGTATACACTAAGGGCACGACTAACCCTCGGTTGTGCTGCTGTGGTTGCTGCAGGTCACCCATGAGTCGGACAGGTGTTTGTGGTTGAACCCCAACCCCTGGGGTTGTGGGGGTTGTGGTGGTGGTTGCAGATGTTGGTTTAAATAGAGCGTAAGTACTTACGTTCACTTAGTCATAGACAAGAAAATAGAGCGTAAGTACTTACGTTCACTTAGCGAGTTTTGAAAGTATGGCCCAGAAAACGTACACTGTTTGAAGAAACGGTAGAAAAACGGCGTTCTAGTTGCCGGCCACTACGTGGAAATAAACCGTTTATCCGTTTTTTCATATGTTGTACGGGTTTCTAGTGTTAAATTTGAATAAAAACGGTCATACGGTGTTTATTTTCACGTGCCGGCCGGCCACTAGGATGCCGGTGAGACCGATTAAGAATGATTTTTCTTACAGTGTACCGGCTCACTTAACGTGATTTCAGCTTCACACCAACGTTATTTTAACGTCAAATCTACGTTATTTTTAACGCTTAATCAACGTTATTTTAATGTTAATCAACGGTATTTCTACGTTTAATTACCCTTATTTTACAGTTAAATTGCCGTTATCTTACCGTTAACTCATCGTTCTTTCAACGTTAAATCAACGTTATTTTAACGTTAAGTCAACCTTATTTTACAGTTTAATCAATGTTATTTCTACGTTATATCACCGTAATGTAATTTCACCGTCCACGTACCAGTACCAGGCAGGGGGCAGAGCTTGGTGTTGTGGGGGAGCGTCTGGTACTTGGGGTCCTGCTTGATCCCCCGGAACTCCCCCAGCTCCAAGGACATTGTCATTCTGGGGACATTGTTGCTGCTGGGCCATCGTGGCCTCAAAGCTCTGGGACAACTGGGCCACGATACCCCCACTGGGTGCCTCTCCCCCTACGGGGGGAAACAGTCGTCGTAATGAATCGTAACGTACCAGGATACATACCGGCTCATTTAACGTAATTTCAGCTGAACCATTGTTATTTTAACGTTAAATCAACGTTATTTTAACGTTAAATCAACGTTATTTCAACGTCAAATTAACGTTATTCTGACGTTTAATCAACGTTAAAGAAACGTTATTTCTACATTTAAGCAACGTTATTTTACCGTCAAATCAACCTTATTTCAACGTTTAATCAACGTAATTTTAACGTTTGATCAAGGTTATCTTAACGTTTGAGCACCGTTATTTCTACGTTAAAACACCGTTATTTCTACGTTAAAACACCGTTATTTTTACNGCTACACTGTACACGCTACAAGCTACACTGTACCATGGCAAGGTTGTTGCAGGACGCAGCGCAGTGTAGCGGGGTCCAGCTACACTGTACACGCTACAAGCTACACTGTACCATGGCGAGGTTGTTGCAGGACGCAGCGCAGTGTAGCGGCGTCCAGCCGTCGCTGTCCTGGGCGTTGACGTCGCAGCCGAACGTCACGAGGAACGTCACGATGTCCAGGTGCCCCGCGCAGATGGCGTTGTGCAGCGCCGTGATGCCTTCGTCGTTGGCCGCCGAGGGGTTAGATACCTGCCGGGGGTGAGGGGTTAGTTGGGGGTGAGAGGTTGAGGAAGTGGGGGGCAGAAGGTGGGGGGAGGCTGAAGTGAAAGAAGGGTTGATGGGAAGAAAGAGCATAAGTTGAAAGGTGAAGAAGACTTGCGGGAGGATGAAGAGGTTACTTTCGGTTGAGGGGGAGAGGGGTTGAGGGGAAGAAGGGTTGAGGGGAAGAAGGGTTGAGGGGAAGAGAGGTTGAGGGGAAGAAGGGTTGAGGGGAAGAGAGGCTGAGGGGAAGAAGGGTTGAGGGGAAGAAGGGTTGAGGGGAAGAGAGGCTGAGGGGAAGAAGGGTTGAAGGGAAGAGAGGTTGAGGGGAAGAAGGGTTGAGGGGAAGAAGGGGTTAGGGGAAGAGAGGTTGAGGGGAAGAGGGACGATAAGTTGAAAGGTGAACAGTTTAGGTTAGGACAAACTTACCTGGTTTGTCCACATTTTACCCTCCTAGCGGACGGGTTGAGTTCTGTACAATTCCAAACGACTGCTTTTGCTCGTCAACTCAAGTTCTATGGGGATTTCTCTCTGAAAGTTTGAGGTCGGTGTCTCGTGTAAGCGACCTCTTGAAAGAGTTTCTTATATTTTTATCAAAGTCACCAGAGACGCCTACTGTTGTGCCTTATAGCCGGCTTAAACTTTGAAGGCTTAAAAACGGCGGTTTAAAGAATTACTCCACTATTGTGGTGTAACGAAGAATTTTTATGGATAAAATTCTACTCTTGAGTGCTANCTTGAAAGAGTTTCTTATAAGGAGTTTCTTATATTTTTATCAAAGTCACCAGAGACGCCTACTGGTTTGCCTTATAGCCGGCTTAAACTTTGAAGGCTTAAAAACGGCGGTTTAAAGAATTACTCCACTATTGTGGTGTAACGAAGAATTTTTATGGATAAAATTCTACTCTTCAGTGCTACTATGCACGATTAACACTAGACGCGAGACGGCCTTTTGTACCGAAACACTAAGGAAGCACTACAACCTAACCTCATTTTAGAAGGTTTATTTCTGAGCAGGTACAACGAGAGAAATAAGTAATGCATTCCGGGAGGTCAAAATGAAATACTGCGTTTTATTAGGCGGATGATTATTTGATTCTCAGTTCAGTGTGAGATTTTTGAGAGATTATTGATTGAATCCAATTAGTAGAGTTTTAGTCTTGTTGCTTACGCTGCTAACCTCCCGCCGTCTCGGGCCACAGCCAGTTTTCAACTTTCTAGATAAGAAAATAAAAAAAAAAACTCGACAACCCATACCACCCATGAAAATATTTTGCACACTTCTCGAAAATAAATTAGTTAATTGTAACACAGAATCCATACACTCGGGTTTACATTTCTGTTTCACTACTTGAGTTAGGCCTGCGGAGGTACAAAGGGTGTTATCGACCTGCGACGGGGAAGACGAGAGGGGGCTGGTGAAAGTAGTGAATGTCAGTGGAGGTGGTGGGGGTTGAGTTGTGGGTGAAGGTAGTGGGAGTATGGATCAAAGTGGAGACGGTTGGACGACTCAACTAAATTTGGGACCTTTTATGCTTTAATCGAATAATAGTCTCTACATTTGAATTAAATTTGATTTGGGTTTGCTTGGCCACCCGATCGAAATAAGTTTCTGGTCAGAATCTGCCTTCCGACTTCACAGTCGCCTGAGAGTATGACAAGGGTTGGCCGAGCTTGCAAGCTGCCCAGAGGCTGCACTTCAAGCCCGGCCGAAGCCGACATTAGCGGCTGATTTACGCGCTCCCCGAGTCCTGGGCGGCACCTGATGCCGAGTCCGGCCAGCTTCTGAATTTTGTTAGGAGGGCGGAAGTGGGAAAGAATTCGTATCGAACTTGGGGTGAAAGCGGACGTAAATGTTGAATACCATGAATCCGACTAAAGTGGGTCATGTGACCCATAAAAGTGGGTCATTTAACACATAAAAGTAGGTCACATGCCCCATAAGTGAGTCACACAACCCACTCCTCACCTCCATGGCGGTGCGCTTGACCAGCTCCAGCTCCCCCTCCAAGGAGGCGTCCAGCAGCAGGGCGAGGGGGTCAAAGCTCACCCGTCGGGGGAGCCGCAGTCCCCCCAGTCCCCCGGTCTTGAGGTTGCCCTTCCGCCGCAGCACCACCGGTCCCCCGGCGTCTGGGGGGAGGGGGGGGTTTAAATGGGGAGGAAGGGTGGGTATTTTAAATGTTAACTCAATGAAAATAGACGTTTTTACGTACGTACTTACCCCATGAACGTACCCCAGTCCCTATTAACGTACCCCAGCGGCCCAGCCCTCCATTAACGTACCCCAGTCTCTATTAACGTACCCCAGTCCCTATTAACGTACCCCAGTCTCTATTAACGTACCCCAGTCCCTATTATCGTACCCCAGTCCCTATTAACGTACCCCAGTCTATTAACGTACCCCAGCCTTCCATTAACGTACCCCAGTCCCTATTATCGTATCCCAGCCTTCCATTATCGTACCCCGGTCTCTATTAACGTACCCCAGTCCCTATTAACGTACCCCAGTCTATTATCGTACCCCAGCCTTCCCTTAACGTACCTCAGCCTTCCATTAACGTACCCCAGTCCCTACTAACGTACGAGAATTTATTAGATTTTCTAGCTGTAGCACTAAAAATAGTTATAAATATGGCCTTAGATATAATTTCACCCGTAATTTTAGACTTATTTAGGGCATAGATATTTCTATTATATAAGATGGTCTAACGGCAACGGTGTCAAATNGTACACGTAGCGGCCTAAGTACACGTAGCGGCCTAAGTACACGTAGCGGCCTAAGTACACGTAGCGGCCAAATTGACAGGTCATAATTGAGAAGAGGTCAGTGATTAGCTGACGGAGTTAAAAACACGAAACTATTTATGTGTTCAAACTAGCGTGTGGTGTAACTAAATAAAATTTAACAAACTTTATCACTCGAGGATTACTTACGAGGATTACCTCACTTTAAAGTCGAGGTAATGAGGATTACAATGGCGGATAATCTAAAAAACTGAGGCCAGACAAATAAAAAAAAAAAAAAAGCCGCCGTGTTTGATGTAACTTCTATGTCTGCATCTACATAGACGTTGGCTAATATTTTGCGCGCTTTTCGATTGTAATATTTTAGATCTGTACTTGTATTCCATACTCGCCTGTTATGCTAACCGTTACTTTCTGATAAAATCCAAACCATATGATTAGAATTTCAGTGCGAATAATGCTAGGTATTTAGACGCTATGTTATAACCCCTGTACCCTAACAAAATTTGGGGACCGCCGAGACTTCTGCAAAAGAGTCGCTACACTCGGCTCAAAATTATTCTGGGTTTGCTTGACCCGATTGAAATCAGTTTTTGGTCAGAATCTGCTTTCTAATTTTACAGTCGCCTGAGAGTATGAAAAGAGTTGGCCGAGCTTGCAAGCTGCCCAGAGGCTGCACTCAAAGCCCAGCCGAAGCGGACATCAGCGGCTGATTTACGTGCTCCCCGAGTCCTGGGCGGCACCTGATGCAGAGTCGCGCCAGCATCTAAATTTTGTTACAGCAAGTCTAAGCGTAGGGTACTACACAGTGAAAGCAGGTTGCCAGCGTGCTGGTTACCTGCTGAGGCTGGCGCCTGAAACAAGCGCGAGAGGTTCACAGAGGAAGCAGGTTGCCAGCGTGCTGGTTACCTGCTGAGGCTGGCGCTTGAAATTGCAATAAATAGGCCTGGCGCTGGCCTATTCGTACGGGTTTTCACTGTGAACACTTAACATTATTATCCTATGTTCATTCTTGAGGCAGGTTGGAGCAGGTTGCCAACCTGTTTTCACTGTGTGGGTACCCATACACTAAGGGCACGACTAACCCTCGGTTGTGCTGCGGTGGTTGCTGCAGGTCACCCATGAGTCGGACAGGTGTTTGTGGTTGAACCCCAACCCCTGGGGTTGTGGGGGTTGTGGTGGTGGTTGCAGATGTTGGTTTGGGGGGCAAGGCGGGCTTGGCAACACCAACAATTTCTGTTTCCTGTTGCTGTTGTTGTTGTTTCTGCTGTTGATGTTGTTGACTTAGCGTTCTGGAATGTGAATAAAATTTAAAAATAGAAATTTAAAATCCTTTAAATGGAATGAAAATATAATAAAAAGGAAATTAAATAAGAACGGAGCAAAACGTATTGGAAATGATTTATCTCTACTATTTCCATCAATTTAAAGACCACTTCACTAAAACTACTTACAAAGCACTACGAAGGTTCTACGGTCAAGCATCTACCTGGTGCCGTTGGTAGACGCTGTAGATGTGGTAGACGACGCATTTTCGGACGTAGACGTGCCAGTAGATTTCGACTCTAAACTTGGAGAGAACGCAATATTAGGAACGTTTGCCGACGGCAAAACGTTAGGCAGTGAAACGTTTGTAGCTGCAGTCGAAACGTTTGCGTTGGGCGATGTAACGTTGCCAGTGTCTACGGGCGTTGTAGATGATGTATAAACGTTGGAGTTCGAAGTAGAAACTTTCTCACTTTGACTGGAAACAATTGCGCTGGGAGCTAAAACGTTCGCATTCGATGTAAAAACGTTGGAATTCTGCGATAAAACGTTCGTGCTGACGGGTAAATTGCAGGTTGTTGCCACAACGTTTGAAGTGGCCGCTAAAACGTTGGCACTGCTCGAAAAAACGTTGTTGTTGTTGCTGTTAGAAACCAAAACGTTGCTGTTGGAAGCTGAAACGTTGTTGTTGGAAGCCGAAACGTTGCTGTTGGATGCGGAAACGTTGCTGTTGGAAGCCGAAACGTTGCTGTTTGTGGCTAAAACGTTGTTATTGGCAGACAAAACGTTGATAACGTTGGGTGTCCCAGCGTTGGGTGCTAAGG